CTTCATTTCATTGTTTATCCAGTCAACATTCAAGAGCAAGTTGTTCAGTTTCCATGAAGCTGTGCGTTTCTGGGTTAGTTTTTGAATTCTGAGTTCTAACTTGATTGCACTGTGGTCTGAGAGACTGTTTGTTACGATTTCCGTTCTTTTGCATTTGCTGAGGAGTGATTTACTCCCAATTATGTGGTCAATTTTAGAGTAGGTGTGATGTGGTGCTGAGAAGAATGTATATTCTGTGGATTTGGGGTGGAGAGTTCTGTAAATGTCTATTAGGTTTGCTTGGTCCCGGTCTGAGTTCAAGTCCTGGATATCCTTGCTAATTTTCTGTCTTGTTGATCTGTGTAATATTGACAGTGGAGTGTTAAAGTCTCCCACTATTATTGTGCGGGAGTCTAAGTCTCTTTGTAAGTCATTAAGAACTTGCCTTATGTATCTGGGTGCTCCTGTATTGGGTGCATATATATTTAGGATCGTTAGCTCTTCTTGTTGCATTGATCCTTTTATCATTATGTAATGTCCCTCTTTGTCTCTTATGATCTTTGTTGCTTTATAGTCTAATTTATCAGAGATGAGAATTGCAACTCCTGCTTTTTTTTGCTCTCCATTTGCTTGGTAAATCTTCCTCCATCCCTTTATTTTGAGCCTTTGTGTATCCTTGCATGTGAGATGGGTTTCCTGGATAAGGCACACCAATGGGTTTTGTCTTTTTATCCAATTTGCCAGTCTGTGTCTTTTGATTGGGGCATTTAGTCCATTTACATTTAGGGTTAATATTGTTATGTGTGAATTTGATCCTGCCATTTTGGTGCTAGCTGGCTGTTTTGCCCTTTAGTTGCGCTGGTGCTTGTTGTTCCTTTATATGTGTAGAGTCTCTTTCAGGAGCTCTTGTAGAGCTGGCCTGATGGTGACGAAATCTCTGAGTACTTGCATGTTCCCAAAGGATTTTATTTTTCCTTCACTTATGAAGCTTAGTTTGGCTGGATAGGAGATTCTGGGTTGAAAGTTCTTTTCTTTAAGGATGTTGAATATTGGCCCCCACTCTCTTCTGGCTTGTAGGGTTTCTGTTGAGAGATTTGCTGTGAGTCTGATGGGCTTCCCTTTATGGGTAACCCGACCTTTCTCTCTGGCTGCCCTTAGTATTTTCTCCTTCATTACGACCCTGGTGAATCTGACGATTATGTGCCTTGGGGTTGCTCTTCTTGACGAATATCTTTGTGGTGTTCTCTGTATTTCCTGGACTTGAATGTTTGCCTGCCTTGCTAGGTTGGGGAAGTTTTCCTGGATAATATCCTGCAGAGTATTTTCCAGCTTGGATTCATTCTCTTCGTCGCATTCGGGTACGCCTATCAAACGTAAATTAGGTCTTTTCACATAGTCCCACATTTCTTGGAGACTTTGTTCATTGCTTTTTACCCTTTTTTCTCCAGTCTTGCCTTCCCGTTTTATTTCATTGAGTTGATCTTCGACCTCTGATATCCTTTCTTCTGCTTGGTCAATTCGGCTGTTGATACTTGTGCATGCTTCACGAAGTTCTCATGTTGCATTTTTCAGCTCCATCAATTCACTTATATTCCTTTCTATTTTGTCCATTCTCATTAGCATTTCGTCAAATCTTTTTTCAAGGTTCTTAGTTTCTTTGCATTTGTTTAGAACATGTTCTTTAAGTTCACAGAAGTTTCTTACTACCCACTTTCTGAAGTCTGATTCTGTCATTTCATCACACTCGTTCTCCCTCCAACCTTGTTCCCTTGCTGGTGAGGAGTTCTGATCCCTTGTAGGAGGAGAGGTGTTCTGGTTTCGGGTGTTTTCATCCTTTTTGTGCTGGTTTCTTCCCATCTTTAAGGATTTATCCACCTGTCGACTTTGTAGTTGCTGGCTTTCAGATTGGGTCTCAAATCTTTCAGATTGACGTTCTGTTTGTTGATGATGAGGTTATTTCTGTTTCTTGGTTTTCCTTCTGACAGTCTGGCCCCTCTGCTGTAGGTCTGCTGAGGTTCACTCCAGGCCCTGCTTGCCTGGGGTTCACCTGCAGCAGCTGCTGAACAGCAAGGGTTGTTACCAGTTTTCTTCTTCTGCTATCTTTGTTTCAGAAGGATACCCGCCTAGTGTCAATCTGATCTCTCTTTTATGAGGTGTCTTTTTGGATATATAGGGGTCAGGGAGCTGCTTGAGGAGACGGTCTCTTCTTTATAGGAGCTCAAATGGTGAGCTGTGAGCTCTGTTGTTCATTCAGAGCTGCTGGGCAGGTACTTTTAGGTCTGCTGCAGCAGAACTCATAAACTGCTTTTTGTTCCCAGGTGCTCTGTTCCAGGGATTTAGGGCTTTATTTATGAGTTTCCGTTATGCTGCCGCTTTCTTTTTTTTTTTTTTCCTTCAGACCTGCCCAGCCCAGCAAGGAGGCAGCCTAGTCACTGTCGGCCTATAGCAGCTTTGCTGAGCTACTGTGGGCTTCACCCCGCTGCCCAGTGAACTTCCCTGCAGTCCTGTTTATATGGGTGTAGTTAGAACTGCTTTGGCGATGTTGGCCCGCCTCTGTTGAGGCGGTGTCTCTTTGCTGTGGCGGGTTGCCTTGGCAACGGCGGGCTGCCTCAGCAATGACGGGTTGCCTTGGCAACGGCGGGCTGCCTCGGTAATGGCGGACGCCCCTCCCCCACAGAGCTGGACCGTCCCGGGTTCAGCTGTGCTTGCTGTGAAACTCTCAATCCAGAGTTTCTGGTTGCTGTTCTTTTGTGGGGTGGGGCCAGCCGAGCCTGATCGCCTGGCTCCCTGCCTCAGAGCCTTTTTTAAGTTGGTGTTCCAGTCGCCTGTTGAAGAGGCGCCGGGTCTGTTTGTTTTCCCCTGCAGCCACTCACTGCCCTGGCTTAAACAGCGGCACTGAGGTTTGTGGCGCTTTTTTTTTTTTTGCCCTGGAATCTACTGTCCTGGTTCTCTGCTCAGTCCCCTTTTTGAACCGGCGAATGGGCGACTTCCCGTGGCTCCAATCGCCAGCCAAAAGGGCCCCCGGACTGGTGTATTTTGTACGGAGAAGCGCGGCTCCGGGGCGCCGACATAGCAGCCGCGTGGGGCAAAGCAGCAGTGCCGGCCGGCACAGCCGCGCTGGCCGAAACAGCCGTGCTGGCGACCATGGAGCACCTCTGCCCGGGAATTTCCTAGTCTGTGGGCAATAACAACGCAGCGTCCACTCACCCTCTGCGCTTTCACTGGGAGCTGCAATCCTGAGCTGTTCCTAAACGGCCATCTTGGATCCAAACCCCCAAAGATTCACTTTCTAAATAATCACTCTGAGGTACTTACCTGTGGAAGACATTGTCATCTTTTCTAAAGAGTTTTAAATATCTTATTTTATGGGTTGGATATCAGTTTTCTTCTCTCTTTAGTCTTGCTCTGCCTATTCAAGTCTCAGTCCCTCTCCCTAAGACACACAGGGTAATAATTGTTCAGTAAATCTCTTAGTTGTGTATCCAGAGCAGTTCTAGCCTAAAAAATTGGCTTTCGTATGGTTATTTAGGAATAATATAGAAAAACAATTAATGTAACCTGCTTTATTTTAGAAACTGAGCATAGTATTTTGGGTATATTTTATCACATGATTATTATAATACACAATGGTGTCATTATCCCCATTTCAAAAATGTAGAAACAATTAGAGAGGCTAGATCATTTGTTGCAGATTAAAGTGGCTGAGTCAGGATTTGAACCCAGTTCTGTTTGACTCCAAGGCCCCTGATCATTCTTTCACCTATGTGGTCTTTACTTTCTTTGTGAAAAATGTAATAATAAGCCAAATTATTAAGGAAACAAGAACTAGTTTCAACTATTTTGATGATAAAATTACTAATAATCATGGGAATGTGAAAAACAATAATTATATAATTGTAGTTTTAGATGTAAACATCCTTATCTCCCAGTATTTTGTGACTATCAGAATAAAAGTAACCTGTAAATCTAAATTCTCCTTTCAACACCATCCAAAATATGTAACTAGATATGAAAATCTAAATCCTGTTCTTAAACTGCCTCATAAGACCATGGAAATTTGCCCACGTATTGTTGTAAAAATAACTTTGAAAAACTTTAAATTACTCATCTGTATCACATTTAAAGACAGCTTTTATGTAGGTTTCCATTTATTCACTATTCTAATAACTACCCAGGGCAATGGAATATCTATAAATGGTGCAGAAGCCAGGGAAAATGGGCTAATATTCTTATCCATTACTGACTCGTAATTTAATACTATTAACATTTAAACTCCATTCCTCTTTAGACAACTAATCTCTATTTAAACTACATTTTATTGTGGGAGTTTATATGGTTTAATTGATTAATGATTTAAATGGTGAAATATGAAAACAAGATTAGTACATAAAGGTGTCATTTGCACACATTTTTTTTCCTCATCTCCTGGACATATAGTAGATTCTTGCTGATCAAATATGTTCCAACATTTACCCAGCTTGACCTCCCCAGAGCATGGCAACAGAAATCTGTGCCTCAGGAAAATGCCAACCTGAGCAGGCAAAAGGCAGGCACCCCCAGTTCAGCTTAATTTCAGGGGCCCTGGAGGCACTCCTTTCCAACTCCATTCCAATTGGCTAGCAGGACATCTAACATTTTCAAAGGCAGAGTAGCTTGGAAGGAATGCCTCACTAAATAAGAACTCCTTAAAATCTGCACATGCCTTAAAAACTGCAATGGCTGATTTAATCTTGTTGGATCTAGTTTTGGGGTCTGATTATGAGCAGAATAAACCAAGAAGGTTTTCACAGCTTTTTTTTTTTTTTTTTTTTTTCCCCAAAAAAAAAAAGAATTTAATATAGGTATTTTAAACAAGTGCTTTTTCTCCTTAAAAACATTTATTTTATTCTGGTTTAATAATGGAAAAAAAAAAAACCCAGAAAAACTTAGATTGAGAAACAGTTGGTCAGTCCTCAGATTGAGGATGCTTGATCAATACTCCTGAAGACTGTCAGGGTCAGGAATAAAGGAGATAGACTCAGAAGCTGTCATAGGTTAGAGGAGACTGGTGAGACATGACAACTAAATGCAATGTGTTACTTTAGGTGGGTGATGGAGCAGGAAGCAGGGATTAATGTAAAAACTGGTATATCCAAATAAAGCCTAGAGTTTAGTTATTAGCAATGTGCCCAATGTATAATGGTAATGTAAAATGTTAACTGTGAAGGAAACTGGGGGTCAGGTGTATAAAAAAATCTGTACTATTTTTGCAGCTTTTCTATAAATCTAAAACTATTCCAAAATAAGAAATTTCTTTAAAAAAAATCTCACTTTACCAGTTTAGGAATAAATTAAGTAAATAATCATAAATATTAAAGTCCAACTTCACTTGAGTTTTCCACGTCAAATATTTGATGTGCTTGGGCCGACATATCACAAAAATCACACACCAAGATTCTTTAGTTTATAAATATATACAATATCTATTCTACTTTTGAAAATAGCTAAAAATTACTGAAAGTTTTTATCTGAAAAGGTCAAATACTTATTTTTAGTTGTTTCCATACTAAACCTTCTGTCTCCTTCAAATTTAGTAACTACACTGTAAATTTTCCACTTTTAATGTCTGTACAATATTTTATCTTAGATGAATTTAGGAATGTTTTATTTTAATGTAAGAGTTTTGAAGCCCTTGGGGAAAAATGATAAACTCTGAAAGTGTAGTCTATGGCCTTAGTTTTAGGAATCTTCCCCTCATCACAATTCTTTTTGGTAAAGCTTCATTGCCACCCTCCCACCTTCCAGATCTTTTGAATGCTATTTTTATTCTAGCTGAATTTCTATTACAGTGAAAAGTAGTTGGCAAAATGTCATATTTAGAGGTAAGCTTCTATAATTTTATTGTATTGGTTGTAATATTTGTAATATCATTCAGCATGTAACAAGCACCTATCTGCAGATTTCCTGTTTGACAATTGCCCTTTTGTGAAGTTATCAGTTTCCATCATGCAATCTATTTTACACGATTTTCTTTGTAAATAAAAGTTACAATAATCACATTGTTCTCTCTTTACAATTTTCATACACATATACATTTATTGATTCAAGTTGGAGATAAGTAAGGTGGAGAACTTCCTCTTTGTAGTGTGTTAGGCTGTATGCTTATAATCTTTGAAACTGCCAACTGAGCAACAGGGGTATGTCAATTTATTCTTTTGTTTAATCAACATCTATTGAACTTTGACTAAAAACTGTTGAGTTTAAGACACAGAAATAACAGACTGCTCTTTGATTTATAAATTCAACTGCTCTCAAAAAACTCACAGCTGAATTTAGTTATATATTTAATTTTTTAAAAATTTCAGTCGCTTTAGGGATACAATGGTTTTTGGTTACATGGATGTATTGTATAGTGGTGATATCTGGGCTTTTAGTGTACCCATCATCCGAATAGTATACATCAGTGGTCTCCAAGCTTTTTTGGCACCAGGGAATGATTTCGTGGAAGATAATTTTTCCACTGACTGGACTGTGTGTGGGGTGAGGGATGGTTTTAGAATGATTTAAGCACTTTACATTTATTGTACACTTCTGTCTATTATTATTACATTGTAATATATAATGAAATAATTATACAACTCACCATAGTGTAGAATCAAGGGACCCCTGAGCATTTTTTCCTGCAACTAGATGGTCGCTTCTGGAGTTGGTGGGAGACAGTGACAGATCTTCAGGCATTGGATTTTCATAAGGAGCATACAACCTAGATCCCTCACATGCACAGTTCAAGCAGGGTTTGCACTCCCATGAGATCTAATGCTGTTGCTGTTCTGACAGGAGGTGGAGCTCAGGCAGTAATGTGAGCAAGGCAGAGAGGCTGGAAATACAGATGGAACTTTGCTTTCTTGCCAGCTGCTCACCTTCTGCTGTGAGGCCTGGTTCCTAACAGGCCATAAACTGGTATTGGCCTGCCTGGGGATTGGGGACCCCTAGTGTACATTATACTCAATTGGTAGTTTATCCTCTCCCAAGACCCTCTCACTCTTCCCTCCCTCTTCTGAGTTTCCAGTGTTCATTATATCACCCTGTATGCCTCTGCATAAACATAGCTTAACTCCCACTTAGAAGTGAGAACATTATTTGTTTTTCTATTCCTGAGTTACTTCATTCAGGACAATGGCCTCCAGTTCATTCAAGTTACTGCAGAAGACATTATTTCATTCTTTTTTTGTGGCTGAGTGTATTCCATGGTGGGTATATATACCACATTTTTAATCCATTCATAGATGATGGGCACGTAGGTTGATTCCACACCTTTGCAATGCTCACAGTTGAATTTAAAAACTGTTATGAGAGAAGACAGTTATGAGGGTGCAAAGGGGAAGAACTTAGTTTAGATATGGAGCAAAAAGAAGACTTCCTGGGGGAGGTAAATTGGAATCTCTAAAAGAGATAAGAAGTGAGCAGGTGGAGAAGTGAGGAAGATGTTCCAGGCATTTGGAATTTAGATGGGAAGCTACAAAAGTGTGGGAGAATTTAGTACATTTGGGGACCTTCGAGGGTTTCAGGATGAAGTGTGATCTGGGAGGGAGGAGACATAAGCACCAAGGCTGGAGAGGCAGGGAAGAAAAAGACTGGGAATGGCTTTTATCCCCTACTATACCAGTAAAGATGGTGAGGTCTAACTAACAGTTTTAAAAAAAAATTTAAAGACTTCATTTTTTAGAACAGTTTTAGGTTTGCAGCAACTTTGAGGGAAGATATAGAGATAGCCCATACATATTAATTATTTTTGTCACACACATTATACATGTGAATTGTGGCCAAACTTCACCTGTGCTGCTACTGGCCAGTAGGCCACTCAAGTAAAGAGAACAGCTACAACACTAACAAGAATTGTGCCCTTACTAGGCCCTGCTCACCTTCTCCACATGGTTGTTTCAGAATTTAGTAATACATTGGTATGATACCATTTATGACTAAATTCCTAGCCTACCCTGATTATCTGTTATCAGACAAATTTGCCAGTTGAGGTTCTGCTAGCTGGTCTTATCAGATAATATTCCTATTTAGTACAAAAGCTGTGAATCAGAAAGTCAATGAATTTATTAATTTTAGAAAAAAATGACTAAAACAACATTTTGAATGACTAGCACTCACTATTTGTGATCTGTCTGGAAACATTGCTTACTTTTGAAACAACTCCATTAGAAACAATTCTTACTTTTCCACAAAATATCTGTGATTGCCACTGTCTGGGGTAAATCAATTTGTAATACTAGTTAGCACATACAGAGGATGTTCTAATTACACATATTTCTTGAGTATATATATGTACACACATATATATACAAAGATACACACACACTCAATTCTTATGACAACAACTTTAGGAGATAAATACTATTATCCCTATTTAACGGATGAGGTAATTGAGGCAGAGAGAAAGTAGCTTTCACAGAAAATATTATCTTAATCAAGAAGGCAGAACTACACTTTTTAATGAAAAGTGGGGTATTAGAGCTCTTAAAGTAGTGGAGGATGAGAGCTGACAAAAGGCAGAGGACATTAGCTCTGAAGGGAGACTCTGTGTCACAGCTCCAGGAAATCCCTGGCCCCAACAGTGAACCTCCCTATCTAACTGAGCCGCCTATTCCTCTAGAGCTCTGCTGGCTATACCACTGAGACTTTCCTAAGCTTTACCTATTAAGATCAAAGAAAAGAGTCACAGTGGCCAGGCGCAGTGGCTCACACCTGTAATCCCAGCACTTTGGGAAGCCGAGGCGGGTGGATCATGAAGTCAAGAGATTGAGACCATCCTGGTCAACATGGTGAAACCCCGTCGCTACTAAAAATACAAAAAATTAGCTGGGCATGGTGGTGCATGCCTGTAGTCCCAGCTACTCGGGAGGCTGAGGCAGGAGAATTGCTTGAACCCAGGAGGCGGAGGTTGCGGTGAGCCGAAATCGTGCCATTGCACTCCAGCCTGGGTAACAAGAGCAAAACTCTGTCTCAAAAACAAACAAACAAACAAACAAAAAACAAAAAAACACACAAAAGAGTCACAGTTTACTAATTTAAGGCTGTTAAAGGGAGGAACGAGCCTTGATAGAGGTATGCTCTCCTGTGTTGGGAGGCATTCAGGCAGAGTAGCAACCAGCTATTAGGAGCTGTAGAAATATTCGTAACAATAAAGGAATATCAAATAACAGGCCCTCTGTACTCCTTTCTGTTTTTTTTTTTTTTTAACTCAGATAAAAAATGTAACAACTGTGCAAGGCTGAATAACATTTAAATAAAGTATAGGTTTTATTCAAACTGCGACTGATGACAATTAAAGGATTAGAAGACAAACTGCAGAGGACGTTTTTTGCTTCCCAGCATCAGTTCCTTCTTCTAGTATTAATGCTCCAAATTCACCTTGGAAAGTCACTTTCCCCTTATGCTCAGGCAGATGATTTAGGTGAGATCAGCTCCACGTTTAAGTCCCAGGTGGGACTTGTTAGGCTTTAGTCAAGCAGCTTATCCCCTCCCTCTGGCCAGCTATTGGGTTGGTAACAGGCCATAATCAAGAGGAAATAGGTTGAGCCTCTGGGGAAGAGACCTCTTGTCTACCGGACCGAGTGTTAAGACGTGTACCTGAATCTGTCATCATACAGAGCTTGGCAGTAGAGCCAGCCCCAGACACGCAAAGCTGATGTGAGCATCCTGGTGCCATTGTGTGAGGTACGGATTTCTTCTCTTTTTAATTATAAAACCAATAAACTTTTCTTGCCAAAGTTTTCCTGTTATGTTCGACTGAAAGGATTTTGATATAGTAATATGCCACACACTTTATTTAGAAGTTTGTTTTATTCAACAAATATGTAACATGGGCCAGGCTGTGTTCAAAAAGCTGGGATTAAAGCAGTAAACAAGATAGACAGGATCTCTATTCTCAAGATGGTTGTATTCTTTGGGAAAATACAGTGCAGACAGTAAAGAAATAAAATGTTGGCCAAGAGGCCATAATCAAGGGGAAATAGGTTGGACTTCTGGGGAAGAAACCTCTTCCCTATGAACTGAGTGTTAAGACGTGTGCCTGAATCTGTCATCATACAGAACTAATGAGATAGTTTCAGAGTGTGTTGGCTGCTATAAAGAGAATTAATAGGGTGACAAGATTGAGGGTAATGCTGGAAGAGATGCTTACGATACTATAATTCAGGGAAGGGCCTCTTCCTCAGGATGTTGTTTCTGTGTTGAGACACAAAATATAGAAAAAAGAAACTAGCTATGAAAATATATTTGAGGCAGTTGGCATAACAAGTGGAAAATTCTTCAGCGTGAAAAAGCTTTGGATATTCTAAAAACATAATGAAAATCAGTATTATTAGAAGATAATGGGCAAGAAAGAGAAACGATGTGACTGGAGAGGTGAGACTCATGTACCTTTCTTGTGAACAGATCCTACCCTCTCTTTTAACCCAATTATGGGTGGGTGATGAGCATGGAGTCCTACTTCATTCACATAGTAATAATTCAACTAAAACTTATGCCTTTTATGTACCAGATTCTGTGACAGGTACAGCAGATAGAAGCATGAATAACTCAGAATTCCTATTCTAGAAGATCTCATAGTATTTGAAGTTCTTCTCACTTATACCTTCTAGAATCTCATGAACTTCCCAGTTCTGTGGTGACTTTCTAGTGTTCTAAGCTTGAAGTTCATCTCCTCACATTCCTCATCAATTCCACCAAGGACTATCACTCCCACTTCACATCCCATTACATTTTTCATGTGGCCTTCTCAGATCTAAACCTCTTTCCTTAAAATTGAGTTCCTCACTTTCTGGGTTGTAAGTTAGTTTTTGTTTTAATTGCTAATCTTTATTTGCTACCAAATAGCAGAAATGTCATCAAATTTGATATATTATTCATTGTCATAGTTGCTGGTGGTCTTAGCACATGCATGCTCATCAATATAACTTTTTATATGTACATCTTTTAAGATTGTCTCAGGTTTGCAACAATAAGTTTGGGAATTCTATATAGACTCTAAAGACTATTCTAATGATATTAATGAAGATTATATACTTGAGATTTTCTATAAGTTTTCTTGAGAAACTTAAAGCCAGACTAGCAGATATATGGTCAAAAATAACTAGAGAAATTTTCACATACATACAAATATGCCTTCTCAATTAGGAAATCTAAGAGAAATAGCCTAAAATTTTTATCAGTTTGTTAGAAGAGATCTCATATATTAATATCAGACAGAATACTAGAAAATCAATGGGAGAGATAAACAAAATCCTTTTCATTCCTCCACTGGCAAGTATTTATTAATAATTATTTTATGCAAGGCACTGAAGCAAGATTGACACTGGACTATCAACATACATAATTTTGTAATTATTAAAAGTGTTTGAAGACAAAATGAAGAATCGTAGAATAGTCCCAAATACTGAAAATGTTTGAAAGCTTGAATTACCAAAATTCATTTTATTTTGTCACTCTGAATGCTGAGACAAGTATTTCACACCAATCCTAAACATTGCCCAAGTAGGAAAATAAATACAAATTTAATTAAATTCATTTTACTTTCCCTCATTTGCTATTTTTTTTTAGATTTCTAATGTCATCATGTAGCAATACATATATAGAGATCCAAGTATGAATTTTATATTGATGCATCTAAATGTATTTAATGAATAGTTCTTTTAATCAAATTCCACCTCCTTTATTCTTTATTCTAATAGAATAGCATGAGAAACGAGGAGCATGTAATTGAACTTAGAGATCACAATAAAAAATCATGATGTTCAAAAGGAATAAATAGCATGTAACTTTCTGAAAGGCAATTATGCATGAAATATAGCATGTACATTCAGCCATGTAAATTATGA